GACTATCACGATGGAGTCTTCGTCTGCAGGAATACGATTTCACGATCGCTTACAAATCGGGCCGCAAGCACGAAGATGCTGATTCATTATCCCGTGCACCTGTTGAAGTTTGTGGCCACGACACCGAGGATGACGATGGTTTCCTTGGGGCCCTTACTACAACAGATGTGATTACGCGACAGCATGCGGACGATGAAATTCGCGCAGTTATCGAAAACCTTGAAGGACGCAACACGTCCATACCTCGATGTATTTCTCGAAGTCTGTCATCGTTCTGTCTGCGAGATGGGGTCCTGTATAAGAAAAACTCCAACGGCAATGAGAGAACCTATCTTCTAGTCGTGCCAACAGACATGCGTGACGACATTCTTCTTGTCTGCCACGATGAGCCCACATCTGGTCACTTAGGTTCCTCTCGAACTCTCGCTCGAGTTCGACAAGCATACTACTGACCTAAGCTTTCTGCATCAGTTAAGTGATACGTGAAAAGCTGCCGGGAATGTCAACGCCAAAAATCCCCGCCACTAAAGCCCGCGGGGCTTCTTCAACCAATAGGACCACCCAGAGCGCCATTTGATCAAATAGGAATGGATTTACTGGGGTCTTTTCCACTATCATCTGCCGGCAACAAGTGGATCGTAGTAGCCACCGACTATTTGACGAAGTACGCCGAAACAAAGGCACTACAACGCGCTACTGCTTCCGACGTCGCCCAATTCTTTACGGACCAGATCGTTCTTCGCCATGGCGCCCCGTCGTGCGTAATCACAGACAGAGGAACAGCATTCACGGCCCAGCTCATTCATGACGTATTCAAGCTCAGCTACACGAGCTATCGCAAGACCACGGCATATCATCCACAGAGCAACGGCTTGACAGAGCGACTCAACATGACCATCGCTGACATGTTATCTATGTACGTAGATGTCCAGCATAAGACCTGGGACCAGGTGCTACCGTACGTCACATTCGCGTACAATACTGCCGTCCAGGAAACTACTCGATTCACGCCTTTCCGTCTTGTCTATGGACGTGAGGTCCAGACCATGCTGGATGCGATGCTTCCACACAATTGCGATGCTTTGATCACTCCTGATGCTGTGCAGCTTACCCAGCACCTCCACCAGTTGTCACGTGCTACAAAAGGTCTTCAACTAGGAGGAACTGAGCCGGCGGGGAGACGCACCGAAAACTGGCAAGATGGCTGCTTCAATAATAAACAACTGGCCAGAGCACGCGCTGCCCCAGAACATCGTCTTCCATTCTCGCGGGCAGCCATGGCTTGCGCTCGCTGTAACTAGCGGCCAAAAGGCAATATATAAGGGAAAGAAGTGTATACTTAAGGGCTTGTTTCTTCATGTTTTGACAGAATATTATTAAGATATAACAAATACTAATGCCAAGGAATGTATAGGGAAAATTATTGCACCGTATTGTAATCTAATTGTGAAGAAAGAAAAGTGGGTGAAAAGATAACTCGCCGTGGGCAGGAACCAAACCTGCGACCTTCAAATAACGCATCCGATGCTCTACTACTGAGCAACCACAGTGGCTATCCTCCCAGCCACTTTATTGGGTATAGATATGAATTTAAACGTGGAAGTGTCAACTCCGAGTACAGCGTGGCTTCTATCGGACAGCCATCACCAAGGCAATATCGACTCTTGACACCCTACTGGCAGACTTGATAACTTCTGCTCACAGGCTCCAGGAGCTCATCGAAATCACTGTGGTGAAACTCGCTCACCTCATCACCGTCAACAAAAAGATTCAAGCTGCGCTACATGGACAGGACAAGGAGGCAGAATTGACTATTGCCAACGAAAACGAAGATTGTGTTATCTGCGCTCAAGGAAGGGTTTGCCGGGCAACCGTACGGCGGCCGCGAGCCCACCCGCACCCATCGCAGTCACATTCATCCAACTCAGTAAGCCTCTCGCCTACACATCGCCGCCCGCCGGGACGTCATCTTCAATCAGCCTTTCGACCTCTCACACCTTGACATCGAAGCAGGCAGCTACTTCTTCTTCATCTGATCTGTCCACTCCTCTCTCTCCAACATCGCAGCAAGTCGAGGCTCCACAGTCAACCGCCTTCATGACACCTCTCGTCTCGACGTCGCACCTGACTGCGACTTCGTCTTCGTCCGGCCTGTCGACTGCTCTCTCTCTGACATCGCAGCAGGCCATGACTTCGCCGTCAACCGGCGTCACGACTCCTCTCGTCTCATCGTCCCAGCGGACCACATTTATTTCTCAAGGCTTCCCGATTGCAACGCCAGGATCTCGCATCAGACTAACCTAGGCTACGCAGGTCACCATGCACGAGCCTACAGACAACTTACGTTGAACCCATTATCATCAGTTGAAGAGTTTCGGGTGCAACTTGATAAAGCTATCACTCTCCACACGATCCATGGTGCTTGTAAGCAAGGAGTCGTTCGGAAAATAATCCATGGAGATTTCGATGGCCAAGGGAAACCCCAAGCGCACCAAGTGCGTCGACTACAAAGACCCGGTTTCTCACAGCCTGAACCACTTCTTGCTAAAGCACTGCTACTTCCCATACTAAAAGGACCAACGCATGTACTATCCGTCGTGCGGCACAATGTATCCCCAATAATTGCCTCCTCAAGAACAACCTGTGAAGCGCTACTTCTCGTCCCACATGCGCCTCAGACCTGATGCTGGTGGAAGGGTCTCCAGTTCATCTTTTCTGAAGCCCAAGGAAGTTGACGATCGGGAGTGCGAGTGGAAGCAGCGCCACACTCAACTACACTCTAAAAAAAGAGCGAGTTAATAGGGTGTCTTTTTGTCCCACAACAATCATCGTCATCTATATTGCGTTACATCCTTGCGCTATCGCCCCACGCCTGGTGTATTCCGGTCACGATCGACATGGCCATTATCAGGGTTACATTGCACTCTCAATAGGAAAGTGGCCAGTGCCGATATTTCAGGAAAGGAAGCGCAGCACGCAAGCCTGATGACCATTATTGTTGTGGGACAAAAAGACACCCCTTATACTCCATATTTGTTAGAGTGTAGGTTTATGGACCCCATGACCATCTACGACGCCACCGAACATAACACGAAGATGGCGCCTGACGCGAGATACCAGCGATGGATGTACGAGCGCCACACCGCACAGCTCCAGCACTACGCCATGCACCTCATGAAGGAAACCGGCGCGTACGAGGACTTTCAACAAATCGGACACGCTATAATCGAGAAGTTGTCGGGAGACTTCCGCAGCGATGTCTCCAAAAACACCATCTTAACTCAGACTCCTGTACCTGAAAAAGTCAGCTCGGTGTACGCAATCGCTCGCGATGCGGCGACGGACGTCAGCAATCGGCTACTGGCCACAGAGCATGCACATGAATAGCAACTGCCTACGAAAGCTGCCCGGATTCTCTCTCTTGGTGACATCACTGCCCGACGGAACCAGGATGCTTCTGCGGCATCGTCGTCCTTGTCGAACAAGGAAGAAGAAAAACCGTCATTCACCTCAAAGTTTTCATCCAGCTTGAATGCGTCTGCGAGCAAGGCCTCCGCTGATGACTACCTGACAACCCAAGTGGTCAAGCAGCGCATGATTGCACAGCTACTACAAAGTCTTCCGAAGTGATATCAACAACTGCTGGTGTACATGTTTCATAAGAAGTACGCGAATTTTTACGAAGCCTCGCAAGTACACGAAACGATGCCGAAAACTGATTCTTCTTGCTATAATAGACGCAGGAAAAGCGAGAGGCCCTACTATGACCACAACAAGCCTGACAACATGAGCACGAAGTATTCTCCACATAATAGCGAAATCGGACGGCTTCCCCCGCAAAACAGGCCACCGCCTCCCCAAGCGCCACTGCTTACTCAACCCCCCCCCCCCTCCCTCCCACTGCTGCCGTCTAAAAACTCCACCCTTTCTATTGTTCGCGTCTTCCTCACCAATGCCGAGATTCCCGTCATTCAACTCGGAGTCTTCATCCAGCTTGAATGCACCTGCGAGCGAAACCGTCAACTTTCCCCATTGTGAACCCGAACATTGCCACGAGTTTTCCGGCCGCGGGAGTGTTTTATATATAGAAGGAAGAAGGGGTGGAGGAAGAAGGGGTGGTGGGCACGAGCACGAGCCAGGGGCGCTGGATCGCTAAGTTGATCACTTGACCTTCAACGCAGCCAGACGATCGAGTTCGGGTCCCCTTCTTCTTTTTTCGGAGTAATTTATGACATATTCCATCACCTAGTATATTCCGACCTGGTGACGAGGTGCTTCTGTTCACACCCACCTATACACACACCTGGTCTGTGTGACAACTTTCAGCCACACCTGATCGGGCTTTACATACTTATCGAGCAGTTTTCGCCCGTTAATTATTATGTGACTCCACTTGTCGTCCCAACAGACCAGCGTCACCGCACCACAGAGATCGTGCACGTGTATCGCATGAGGCCTTTCAGATGACGTTCTCTGTCTCATTGAATCGCTACGGCCAGGTTTGTGACTTCCGTGTGGGGGGAACTGGTATGGGCATTCTCATGCGCTTCTTCTCATATATCTATTATCATAATCATTATCATTCGTCCACTGGGTGTCACCACAATTGCCATCGGGTGTTTTCGCGCTCTAGCTCAGACGGCGCGTCCTCTGCACATATATATATATATATATATATATATATATATATATATATTCTTTCTGATGGTCTGATGCTTAAATAGAATGGTATCGCCGAGTGAGTGAAATAATCGGGCACTGCCTCAACGAGAGCAGCTTAGATATGTTTACATGAAAGCTCCCTACACTCCCTTAGTCAATGTCTTGGCGCACGACTACTGACTTTGTTGAGTGCACGAACTGCCTTTTAAATATCTCTGATAAAGTACCACGTATATTCTCGGATATTTTCTGCATCTGATTACTGAATGTTATCGATAAATAAATTTTTAAAAATGTTCTAAGCACAACCACTTTATATTCTCTTACCATAGGACTACAAGCCAGGCAAATGGTGGAGATAACGCGAAGTGTGGCCAAGTTGTAAGTGGAATGCTTCGTATCACATCTTTTTTATACCGCACTCAATTAACCTGTACGTATTAGAAGGGTTATGCTACACCAACCTTAGTTTCTTACTGCGTATCACGTACAGCACGAATTAAGAGACGGTGCACTTGACTTACTCTTTCCAAGCGTTCTCTCAATTAGGATATTTTGAACAACATCACCCAGTAAACACTGTATGCCGAAGCAATGTTAACATCGTTTCTCACAAATGATCTCAAGGTATGTCTGCTTAAGCGTAATTGCAGGGAGGTTTGGACGCCCGATATTTCTATAGTGTTTGAGGTGTATTACACGAAACGATACAAAAGCGTACCCGAACAAAAAATCCCAGCATATCCACGAAGTGAATGGTAATGAGTGGGGCGAAGCGCTGGATGCATGGTTTCTTCGCTAAACTGTGAACCATACACAAATATCGCCCCTACACGATCAAAGACGTGACAAACACTGCATATATTTATACAAGAAATTTTATTTTCGTGAGTGGTAGCTATACGTTGCTTCCGTTATCCCTTTACGAAAACAGCTTTATGGTGGGTGAAGGGGTGGATCGATGATGGAATGTAGGTCAATGTTTGCAAGGACGAAGTAGGAAGCAGTTTCCAAAAGTGTAACTATAGGCGGTCACGTACGAACAAAGAATGGACACAGTAGGACAATCTACGATTCTTTAACGCGCACCTATATAGAAGTTCACGATCATCTTGCATTTCATGTTGACAACTCAAAGCAAGATGCAATTGGTTGCGTGATTGCGTGGTGATGCTCTGACACGAGCAAATTTCGCAGCGTTTTCACTAATAAAATTTCAGTTGAAGTCAGCGCTCTTTCTGTCTTTTTCTCTTCTTTTGTAGTTACGTCGTAACTACTCGTAGTCTTTCGCTTTGCAAATATGTTGATTCCCAATCACCAACTAGGCCAAGCATCTGTCTTATCAAGTATCTAAGCTCGCTTTCCTGGGTTGTCGCGTGGTGAGAAACTGGCGGGCCAAATTATTTTGACGAGATATGGGGCGATGGAACAGTCGAGAGGCGATTGGAGTTTCCCATGGGGGTAAGGATGATTAAGAACAGGTGCATCATTATGCCGCTGACAACCCCAGGCCAGAAGGCGACGACCTTGCGGCGTGTTTTCCAGGCGGATGTGGTGTCGATTGTAGGCTTCACGGATGAAGTCTTACAGATGAGGCAAGCTCCCTGCGCTTTCAAGGCGGATATCTTTGTGCGTTTAGGGAGCCCCGTGATGGTACGGAGATTAAGCCAAAGAATGCGTTCCAATTTTTGGATGTCCGTTGGAAAGAACGTGTATATGGGTCCACCGTACAAAATCTTTCCAACGGCCGCAGCTCTTGCGAGAGTGCGACAGGCTTGTTGTCGTGAACCATTGTATTTGTTGGATAGATGACGTATCATATGTAACGTGGCAAAAGCGCAACCAACTTTTGTGGGCTGTTGCAGCTGGCTATTGGTAAACCTAAAACTTTGATTTGTTCATTTTTTATTGTATAGCGTCTGATCCAATAAGGAGTAAGGTGCACATTTTCGGGCTGGTGCAAATTTTGCCGTCTATGGGCCGTCTACCGAGATACATTTATACTAACTGGCCCGATACAATTGTTCATGTTTATAAGTTCTGTCTTATGCGGAGCCAGCGGCAGGCCTACTTCCCCAAGCGTGGACTCTAAACTAAGAAGGGCTGCCTGCAGCTTGGTCTGCATTGATTTTTTGTCAGAATAATCCACTGCATCTGTCCTTACAGTAATATCATCAGCGTAGGTGGCGAATCTGGCCGCGGCTTCCCGTTTAAAATTTTCTGCTACCATGCTCATGGCCAGATTAAATAGCGTCGGTCCTAAAATAAATTCCTGTGGAACACCTCTATCCAAGTAGTAGGTCTTCAGGCTCCATCCAGGCAACGCACCGCTTAAGCGAATGGATCGAGCTGCAAGGAAATTTCAAATCCATGTCTGCGCACGCTGACTTGGGCAGTGCTTAGCTAGTTCTTCAAGAATGGCGTTAGGGTGAACGATATCGAACGCTTTCTGCATGTCAACGGCCAGCAAGTCGTCAGGTAAGATCTTTAGTGAACTACGATTGATAACGCACCGTAGCAGCCAGACAGCCATGGGTGCCCAGGTTAGGGCGAAAACCCACCTGAGCTAGATGTTATCCCGGCCGGGTTATCTCGAGGTAACGGACATGCGTGTGTGAATCATGCGTTCAATGAGCTTACAGAAAGTAGACATCGAAGATATTGGCTGAAGGTTCTTGCAGAGGGTCTTCTTTTTTCTATATTTCGGAATAGGTTGAATGAGAGACAGCTTAAGTTTCTCCGGAACTTTTTCTGTGGGCCAGAGTTCATTGATTACCACCAAAAGTGCGTCCTGTGCTTCATCTCCAAGGTTGCATTGTTCTTGCCATGTGATTCGGTCGTCGCCAGGCGTCAATCGAGGATGGCCGTGTTGTATGGCTGCTAGCATTTCTCCCAAGCTATATGGGCGATCGAGATTCGGATCAGGTTGCGTTATGGTGCAGGCAGAGTGAGTGAAGTGTGAGGAAAGAAAGTGGTAATAGCTTCGTCTTCTACAAGTGATAGCCAGAGGAGGGTTGCCCTTTTCTTTCCCGCTAAGGCTACGAAAAACGCGCCATAGACCATTGAGGCCTGGTACTTGGCCAAGGTGCTCGCAGGCGGATTGCCAGGCTTCATTTTGAAGTTGGAGCTGATAGTCATTGATAAACTTAGATTGGCGCTTAAATTTCGTGAAGTCCGTGTGTCGATTGCCGTGCGAGTGGTATCTCCTGACTAAGCAGCCTGCTGTTATCCATAAATTGCCTAAATGGTTTTCCGTCGGTTGAGTATGGTCTTTGCATGACATTGTTTCGCGTGCCAGATCACGGACCTGTTGAACAATCTTCAGAAGGCCCTAAGCTTTTGAGAAGGATACAGTAACATTACTACGAGAAGTATTCCAATCAGTCATCGCTGTTCTTGTTTTGATCCGGAGGCGCTTTTATGAAGTGCCACGAATATCAGGAGATGATCACTGCACCATGACTGGCTGGAGACTTTCCAGTGCCGTGCCAATAGCGGTCTGGCGAGGGTTGATTTCTGGGGTCGTGTCTCTCGCAGCTCTATGTAGTCCTATTCTTGTAGCGGTGTCAGAGGCGTTGCAAATTTCTACAGAAGGGAGTTTAATAGCGTCGTAAAGATGTTTTCCACATTTATGCGGCTTTGGGGCATCCCAGGCAGCTTGACGAGCATCAAAATCACCTCCAATAAGCAGAGGGAGGTTCTTAGATGTTTGCTTAAGCGTCTCCAGTCATGTGTATGGTCCAACTGAAATATTTCCGGGGCGAAAATGCGCAAACACGGCCACAAAGGTCTTTTTGCCTGGAGGTCAAATTTTAACAGCTACTGTTTCACGAGCATTGGAACTGCGATCAGGAATGTCCAATTCAGGGGCCGAGCAGTCGTTACGCACCAGAAGCGCTGCCCGGCCTTTGGAAAGCTGCCGCTTATGTTTGGTGGTTGGTGTCTGAAAAGCACGGCAACCAGGAAGCGAGCACGTGCCGCGCCTTTCTTGGAGAAGAAGGGACAAGGGGAAATGCCTTTGAGCATAATTATGAATGGTGCAGCGCGTTTGGTTAAAACTACGACAATTTCACTGCACCCCATGAGCGAACGAGCTCTTGAGAATAGCCCTTGTTTGCGGCGCTTATTGTCATCAGCGAGGACGTTGTGCTGCAGTTCATCAAACCTATTTTGAAACCAAGTTTGCATGTTATCAATGGCTTATGTTAGAGTGCTAACCATCTCCGACCAAATTGCATGCTCCAGCTTATTAGATTCTTGAGCCCCTTCCTGTCGCAGGAGTACAATAATGTAGTAGGTTGAGTCCTTGTCCGTGACCTGTATAGAACGACGTGTTGGAGAAAGGCTCTTTCTTTTATTTCGAGACCGACTGCGGTTTGGCTTTGGGAACCGATTCCATTTTTTTTTGGTCCAGCATGAGATCGCGAAGTCTGTTTTTCTTGCCGTAATTCCTGTACTTCTTGGTGAAGGCTGTTGATAAGCTGAGTCAGATGGTAATAAGCGGCTGTTGGAGCCCAGGTTACCTTCCAAGGCATCGGAGGTGTAGGCTGTGTGGCAGATGTCGTAGATGATGAATCATTAGTGTTGCGAGGAAAGGCTGATTCGGATATATTTCGTTCAGGATATTGAGGGCTGAGGGAAATGTGTGTAGACACTCCACAAACCACATAATGAGGGAAATTCTTACAGTTTGGGTAGACCTCATGCGGTGTTTTGCCACAGTCCCGGCATACTAATGGGAAGGAACAGTATTTGGCAACATGGCCCAAACGATGGCAGTTGTAGCCTGCGACTGGGCGAGGCCGATATTCCTGAACACAGATGACTTCATATTCAAACACCAAGCGTCACGATATGCAGTCTGTATCAAATGTTAGAAGCAACAGCTGTGTTCTACCGAGCATTCGCACATCAGTGATTATTGCCTGTTCACAGCGCAGATGCGCTTTGATGTAGTGATTTGTTAAGCCGAGTCTGATCTTTAGTACCCAACGAGAGCGGCCGACTGCGTGTGGCTGAAGAGGCGATGTGTCGACATCAATTACTCGCACGCTACCATTGACTGTTGCCACTATGCGCAAAATTGTGCGTAGTTTGCGACATTGACCTTCGTCACGAAGTGTGATCTGTATGAAGTTACTGGTTATGTCAAAGCGGAGAATTGACATTTCTGCAATAAAAGTTGACGGAGCGCTTTGCTCTATGGCGTCTGCAAGGGCTTGTTTCGGAATGTCTGTCACATGCGCTGTGTTTAGCGCCCTGATAAAAACAGCATAGCGGGGCCGACTCACCCGTTCGGTGCGCAGTCTGTTCGGTGGCACTTGGCGTCGGTAGTACGCGGCGTTATTCTTTTATAGCCCGTTGTCGAAAAGTTTGGTGGT